AAATAGAAAAAGGCAAATGCATACGTCACAAGGTGACCTGGTTTTGCTGGGTGTGCACGTCTTTGAGTTCTGAAGTGGTACCTACACTGACCAACAGAGGGGTCTCTCATTTCCATCCGATTATGGAAAACTTCACCCTCACACAAGGTCTCCGAACCAGCACTTCCCATCACTACAGTTTTCTGCAGGTGAATAAATGCAGAATTCTGCTTGGTAGCAGGCCATCTATGGTCTATCTTTAGATTCGGTGCTCAAAGGTGATGCCAAGTGAGGCCCAGGAAGAGGTCAGGCGGGCCAGGAGCCGGGAGCCAGGCACCCTCAGCTTCACTGTCGGTCTGCGTGGGACCATTATCACGTACTATTATAGGTCGCTTACATCATAACTGAGTACAAACAATGCACAAAATGTCCTGCAAATTAAAATGTATTTAGATTGTGACAGATATATTCTGCAAAGATAATAAACTACTTAATGGCTCAGAATTATCACCAAATTATAGGGAGGAAATTGAAAAGGCAAGAAAACATTTAAATAACCATTATTTCTTTGTGAGGCTGCTCCAACTTCAAAGGTGTTTGATTCCAGGATGGACCCGTTCCTAATGAGGTAGTAATTACAAAACAATAATGACGAAGGTCTCAGATTTCCTGGGAAGCTTAATCTCAGATAAAGTGAACTTCTGAAGTTCTGTTATTTTATTAACAGGGGGAAAAACAGATTTAAGAGTCTCTGAATTTCCTACCTGCCTCAATACTAAATTCTGCCTTTTAGTACTATAAGATAAATGTTTATCTGCCCTGTTTCAAATATAACCTTCCCCAGTTGGTAAAAATGAATATGACTTGATGTAGCTGAGTCTATTGTAATCATTTGAAACAACCATGTGACTCAGTATTTGTTAGCTTTTAAAACTCTTTGTATACACCCTGGCATGTTTGGTTCAGAGGTTAGAGCATCATCCCGCGGACCAGAGAGTCCTGTGTTAGGTTCCCGCTAAGGGCATGTACCTCAATTGCAGTTTGTCACCGGCTCCTGTTGGGGTCGTGTGGGTGGGAACCAACTGATGTGTCTCTCTCACATCGATGTTTCTCTCCCTCTCTTACCCCCTCTCTCCCTCCCACTCTATCTGAAGATAAATGCAAAAAAATGTCCTCGGGTGAGGATAAAAAAATTTTTTGTTAAAAGTAAAGCTCTTTGTATAGAAAGTAAAAAATATATATATATAAGTGAATCAACTGTTTAATGGGCACTGTCTATGTGCCAAGAGTGATGTTATCTCATTTGATTTAAAAAACAATGACAACAACACTGGCCAGTGGCTCAGTTGGTTAGAGAATCATTCTGTACACCAAAAGGTTGCAGGTTCGATTCTCGGTCAGGCCACATACCTACGTTGCAGGTTCAATCCCCTGTTTGGGAGTATATGGGAGACAACAGATTGATGTTTTTCTCTTCTTCCCTCTCTGTCTCTCTCTATCCCCATTCCCCCTTCTCTCAAATCAACAAACATATCAAAACAAAACGACACAAGAACAACAACAAAAAACACTCAAACCTCTATGAAATGTATATCCCTATTTTACAGATGAGGAAAAAGAGGTTCATAGAAGTCAGGTTTAAAAGTCATGCATTATTTCAAAATGCATGAAATAAAACTCCTTTGACAGTAAGTCTTAAGTTTCTTATCTACACCAGTGTTCAGACGTCTGGTTCCGGGAAGCTGGGTGTTTTGTGCCCTAGTAGTGGGGTTGTCATTTAGAAGCCTGGGAAGCCACTGTGATGTGGAAACTGACATTTATTCCCATTGCCACCAATCTAAACTCTACTTCCCTCCAGCAGTGGCTGCAACATGAGAACTCCTTCGAAGGTTCTGTTTCTTTCCTGGGATGGCGACTCAGGTCACTGAACAGATTAATCATTTGCTGAGGAAGGGAGGCAGGTCCCAGGTGGGGGGTTGCCGGCAGGAGCCACACACGGCTCTGGTTTGCAACTGAGAGTCTAATGCATTTCAATTCCGTTTTTGATGGATTTCTATTCTACCTCTACCTTCCGAATCAAAAATGTCCTTTGCCAAATAACAATTTCATTTTGCCTTCAGTTCCTCCTGCAAAAATGAAAATAGTATTTGTTTTTAAAATATTGTGAAATCTCAGGGCAACCACATACCTTGGAACTGCTATAGAAATTCATATATCTAGGACATTGAGAGAAACCATAGTAGGAATTATTTTTAAACCCAGTTACCTAACCATTGATTAAAGTTTCTTGAAATGGTCCCTAATTCTTGCTTTTACTGCAGCCTGAAGAATAGAACTATAGATGCCTCTTTGAAAAACTATATATATATATATATATATATATATATATATATATATATATAAATTAAGACTAGAAAGAGCAAAGACAGGATTAAAAATGAGATTAGCTAAGTAAGTAAACATGGCCAAAAACAGTCACTAACACCCTGAAGATAGGCTGTAATATAAAATAAAAGCTTTTCTCTGATGTTTAAGTATTAAAAATAAAGCATTACTGATTAGAGTACACAGGATCAAGTTTAGCAGTAATAAATGATGACCAGCTTCCCAATTTCAGGAGTTAAGCATCAAACTGAGTAGGGAACCTCGGTTTCTGGACAAGAAGCCAACACTGGATTTACCCTCACACCGTAAACTACTAGAATATATACAAAATGTATGAACCAATGGTTTTCAGACATTGAACAACAAACGGCATAGGACAGTGATTCCCCGAGAGACGGGAAATGAATGAGGTGAACTTACAAATGCATCAGTTTAATGCCTGGAAGGTGATGTCCAGACCAAAGCTCAGGGAGGTAGGACCCAGACAGAGCCCAGAGGTCGTCCTGAGTTGAGGGGTCAGAGATCAGACTTCAGGGAGGCCAAGGCACTTAGAGTATCTGGAACACTGTACTAGAGACAGATCTCCAGAGGTCTGGGAAGAGGGTTTGGCACCTCCTGATCTACCTGTGTGTGAAAGGAGAGCTCCCAAGGCCACAACAAGGAAAGTGTAGCCTGAACAGAGAAGTAGCATCTCTCGGTGCGTGGAGACCCACCTGCTAAACCCACATGGGACCACTGCCCACTTATAACTGGAGACCTCACTACTTAATCCAGTCACACATGACTCACGACTCAGCTCAGTGTCCAACAAGTACCCTGCCTCCAGGCACAAGTGTCTGTGCCACCCGTAGGTATCTCCACACTTATACATCCCGGAAGACTTCACCATTGGCCGGAAGGGGAAGGGAGCAGCTCTTGTATCACATTTTGGGGCCAGACAAGGGGACACTGGGATTCCCGGAACCAAGAGCACATGTTACTTGATGCATACGGAGTGGAGATAAAGCCAAGAAACTTGACTGTAGTAAAACTACTGTAGTAGCTGTGATTGTAATTGTTAGTTTTCAAAGAAGAGAATCATTGGCCCTTCTCATAGCCTCCGCTTTTTTGGCTACTGCTGGAAGACCTTGGATCACTTCTGATCTTGGCTTTGTATGGTCCCATAGCAACCATCACAAACCCTGGTTAAATATCTCTGTCTGGATTCACACTGTCTTCTGGAAGGAAAATTCCCTAAATACAAACTTACCAAATCAACACATTTAAACACATCTAACATAGAACAGAACAAAAACAGAAATATAATAACTTTATCACATTTAACCTATCTCATTGTTCCTCAAATTGAATGCTTGTGAGCTTCAAGGAAACTGTAAATATGGAAGATAAAAAACTGAACTTAACCCATTGGCACAAATCTTTTTGGCTCTCTGTCAAAATGTAAGCCCTGCCTTCATTTCTTCCTTGCCTATATCCATATCACCATCTGCTCTGCCATCACTTTTGTCTTCCAATCCCTGTTCTTTCTCGTACTTTCTCATTTTCTTTTCTTTGTTTCTCAGGTTTCTTCTCTATCTTCAACTCTAGCCCCACATCGATACACTCAGCAAATGTGCTCATGAAAATAACCAGCCCTATCACACTGGTGAAGAGCATGGGGTCTAGGGCTCATTAACTTGGATTCAAATTCTGGATCTGCCACTAACTGGCTGTGTGACCTTTTGCAAGTTGCTTAACCTCTCTGTGTCTCAGTTACTTGTAAAAGTGGAACATTAACAGTATGCGCCTTGCAGAGTTGCTGTGAGGATTAAAGAGATACTGTTCCTAAAGCTCTTGGCACATGCCTGGCACATGGTGGACCCTCAATACCTGTGAGCCACTATTATTATTAACAATGTCACCTATTATTTGGGGGTTTTGCTCGGTGAGCTACCAAAGTCATCAATGAAAGGGAATTCTGGTACTTTGTTTTTTTTCTAGAAAGGAAAAAAGAAAGGGCAGGTTCCAGGCTCGTGAATTAAGAGGGAAGACATCCCATGGAGCTATGAAGAGCACTGAGAACTGAAGCTCGGCTTCTTTTCTGTCCTTTCCCTCTGCCCTCCCCAGAACCGCATGGAGAGAACGCGTCTAATGAGGACCATCTCCAGGTCCTCAGGCTCAGAATATGGCCTCACTTCTGGCTGAGCAATGCTGTGCTCAGAATGACTGTTGACCACAATTCAACAGATCCTTCTAAGCCATGCAGCAAAGCATCAGAGCAGAAAAGAATCATGCAAATTATATTTTGTTGTTGTTGTTAGTACTCACCTGAAGATACTTTTCCATTAATTTTTTTTTTTTTTTTTTTTTTTAGATAGAGTAGAAGGGAGGGAGAGGGAGAGAGAGAAAAAAAGAAACATCAATGTGAGAGACTCACATCAGTTGGTTGCCTCCCTCCTGACCCTGTCTAGGGCTGGGGATCAAACCTGCAACCCAGGTACATGCCCTTGACTGGGATTGAACCCAAGACCCTTGGTCCACAGGCTGATGCTGTAACCGCTGAGCCACACAGACCAGGGCATACAAGTCGTTTTTTAACAAGTTGTGGAAACTGTGGAAAAGCTTGTTGCACTGAGGAAGAAATATACTTTACTCACCTGCAGGAGTCTACTTGGCTGATCAGGGCTTGTCCCTTTTGCAGAGCATCAGCTGCGCAGCCTTTAATTTCCCCGTGTAATTCCTCATGCCTCGCTGCCAAGACAGGCAGGCTTAAACCCTCCGACTTAAGGAGCTTAAGGTAAGCTTCGGCTCTTCCAAGTACATCAAATGCCTGCCAAAGAAAGCATACTTTCATTTTCTGCTTTTCTAGTTTAGAATCTACATTGATGTGCACATGAAATACTAGAGATTAAGCCAGCCTGTTTAATTTATTAGTTTAATCAAAACCAAAACCAACAAGTTTAGTCTTGGAAAAGAGCCGTACAGTTTTAAGGCTCCGTTTAGAGAAACTGATCACAGCTTAGTTCAGCGTAGATAAGTGTCAACACCTTATAATTACCAAAATAATTAACACCGAGAGCGCATCTACGCAGCACAGTTATAATCGTATAGAATTTGGAAGGCCAGGTTTATTTTTTGCAAAATCTGAACCAGATACAAATAATGGATGTGATATATTTAAAACAGCATGCAGATTTATAACCGGAATGTCTCTGTAATATTCTTGAAAGAAAATTTCCCCATAAATTGCACTTTCAAACTGAATCACTGCAGGGAAATGGTCAAAAAGTTACTAAGGTGTGTTTGCCCTTGCCTTTGCGAGTGGAAACCTTCTGCCTACTCCATCCACAGACATCCATCTCTCTAGAGAGAATGCTAGAATTTAGATCTGAGGCAGAAATTAAAACCCAGGTAATATTTAGCTTCCAACATACAAATAGACTGTGCACCCCCCCCCCAAAAAAAAAAACACGTATTTTTGCATACCAAGATGTTATCCTGAGAGAAAATTTTTGAATTCTTTGATTGTCTTCTTTTATCAGATCAACAACTAAGCATGTGGGATTAAGTGTATAGAATTAACACAGAGTAATCCTTCTAGTCATCAAGGCTTAGTGGGCATTAAGATGGGGGTACAGGACAAAAAGGCAGTAAAAGGGGACTGTGGTAATATGAGAAAAAGAGAGAGAGAGAGAGAGAGAGAGAGAGAGAGAGAGCGAGCGCATGATGGTCTTCATGGGCTTCCTCACAGCCCATTTCTGACCTGAACCTGGAGAGCAGGAGATGAGCTAGGTAAGTTGAAACAAAGGTGAATAGAACGGAAGTTCTTGCCACGTTGCCCCTTGGCACTGTTGGAAGAAGCCACCATACAGGATGCTCCATACCAGTCTGGAGAACAGTCCTGTCCCAGTAAGCTGGGCAGTGCCACTGTCAGCGGGGCCTTGGAGTCACCCTTCCCAGACTGCTGGGCGGGAAGCCGGTGACCTTGGCAGGGCCTGCCAGGTGGAGCAGCAGGACCCGCAGACGCCTCGTGGGCAACGAGAGCAGAGGGCCTTGTGCGTCGCGAGACCAGAGGAGCAGGCTGGGCTGATGCTCAGGGGACACACTTCAAGCCAAACGTCGGAGAGAGCGCTGTGGGGTTGTATAAAGGCACCCGTGTCCCTGCCCTGGCTGCTTTTTTAAAGAGCGATTTTTAATGGTAGAATTGGAACCAGAAAAAAATTGAATTTAAAGACGTAATCTCCCCAACACTCTCATTTTACATACACATTGACGTTCTGTTCTGCCGCCGATGTCCTCAGTCTCCCGAATCGCACTTTCTGTTTACTTAGCACGTTTACAACAAAACCATAACCATTTATTTAGAAGCTGATAGAACGTAATAAAAATAATAACTACAGTTTAATGTGAACTATGTGTTCCTTCTATACTATTTGTTTCATGATTACTTTTCATCACTCAACGAATATTTTTGAATATCTGCTGACTTTCAACATTGTCCTCAACAGCGCTGGGAGGGAGCAGAAATTATCCCCATTATACACCCAGGAAACGCAGCCCAGAGAGTTAAATAAATGGCACAGACTGATCCTTCTGCTGTGCGGCAGACTGGTGTCCACACTCCATTTGTCTGGCCCTGAGGCCCTGCTCTTAAACCAGCGGCTATGGAAGCACCAGGCAAAGAATTGCCATGGGAGGCGAGGAAAAAGGCATTTCCAAGAAGCCTGTTAATCTTAGGTTTAAAAGGTAGGATTTTTAAACTTACTTCTTATAAATAAGTGTCTACCTTTCCTTCTTAGCGGTGAAAAAAGATACAGAGAAAGGTTGAGTGATGTCTCCTGTGCGCTGTAGGACTCTAAAAGAAAGATAGCTGTATCAAAGTAGCTTCGAACCTGGGGAACTCTTCCTTATCTAATCCATCTTCCCCTGCAGTGGGCCACAGAGCCAAGATGCTGCTATTAGGAAAGATCATTTGAATTACTCTCTTGATCTTTCCGTACACACTGAAACACCACTTGGCAATAACCACTGTTTCTGGGATTTTGTTTTATAGTTTAAATTTGTATTGCTTAGTTTGAATAGAGCGGGGGCTTTTGTTCATCAAGGGTTAGTTTGAAAGTTAGTGCCTAAAGCAAAAATCCATTGGATTCAAAATTATCATGAACTCCCTTAAATCACACTTAAAGTTTAATACATGTGACTAGCGCTTACAGTAATATACATTTAAATTTAGGATTGAGAGCCGCCGAGCTAGACAAAAGGAAGAAATAAAGGGAAAGTCTCTAGGCGGAGGTCAGGGCATTCACTTTTTTCTTCCTTCAAGATAATTCTCAAGTTCCTAGCATGAATGAAAAAGGACAGAGAATTCCAAAGTCTTGCCTGCAAGTTGAACTCTGCTCTGTTTTAATAGTAAGCCATTAATTCATATCATGTTTGTAGCTGTTTTGAGAATTAAGAAAGAAGAAATATGGAAGCAACTAGGGCATGATGGTGCATACGTAGTACGTGCTTAGAAAATATGTGCTGGCTACTACTCTAAATCCTGAGTGATGGCTCACATCTTTGAAAAATCACCAAGAAGAGCACAGCCACCCGCTGCCGGTCACTCATCCCACGAGGGTCTTTCCTCCGTGGCCCCACGTCCCTGGGTCGGGCATTGGCTTCGTCTTCTCAGGAGTTAGATTCTAAAGCCACGTGCACGTTAAATGCATGTGTGATGTGACTCCGCCCATCCCTGAATGTTATCATAGAAGCATTATTTCCTAAGAGCATGGAAACCATTTAAAGGGCTATACAGTCACTGGAAGCAGAAAGTACTATATCAAATGCAAGACAGCCCATAACGTAGAAACAAAACAGCCAAATTATCTCCCGGAGTTCTTTTTCTCAGAAAGAGCAGAGCGTAGAGTGTTAGGAAAGCATTTACTTATGAATTGCTCTGTGTGTCACACTTAATGGAACAACGGCAGTCGAACGGAGGTGAGTGACTCCCTTCCTTCTTTAGCTTAACAAATATATTCCCAAAATACCTACTATAGGTAAAAGAGGCCGGATGGTGTAAGAGAGCATAATCCTAACCTAATTCCTAAAGTGAACCCAGTGAGAAGAATCCTAACCCAACCCTAATCCTGACCTAACCCTAATGGGAATAATCTGTAAACACAGAGGTAGTTAAGTTTCTTAATTTTAAGAGGAGGTCTCTTTCAAGAAAGTTATACTGTCAGTGATTGTCATATGCAAAGCTCATTTCTCTTGTTCCCATGTAGAATTTGATGAGGGATCCAGATGCCAGTTCCAGAAAGGATCTAAGTATCACTTCTCTCACCTACCTCCGAAGTAGGACTGGGTGCTTTTCTGTTTGCCGTATCCATGAGGAAATGACAGACCGGGTCCGGGCGGAAAGAATCTCTTTATTACTCAGACAGTACAGAACAGCTTATTCCTGGTAAGAACACCGTGACCCCCACATAAACTCCTTTACAATTAATGTTTCACCTTTAGTTTCTCTCTTCACATCCCTCCCCCTTTTCTTCAAGCTTTGCATGTGATGGTCAAATAGAGGTTTTAGGACTGGTAGGGGGCGGGGAGGGGGGTATAAGCACGAGTATAGTTTCGCCCTTTAGGGTCCAGCTCTTCTTGACTATTTTATATGGTACCACTCAGTTCTTAGGCAGACAGGGAGGAGATGAGCAAGTCCCTTTTGGCTCTGGTTTGGAAAAGGCGAAGGAGTTGCTTAGTTTCTATTCTTGAAGATGCTAATAAAGATCTTTCCTTTTTCTCTTGTTAAGTATGAGACCCAAAGCACACTGCCCCAAAGAAAATAGAGCTGGCATCAGGACATGGCACATGGATTCTTTTTTTTTTTTAATCCTCATCCGAGGACATTTTTCCATTTTTTGTACAGACAGAGTGGGAGGGAGAGAGAGGAAGAGAAAGAAAGGGAAACATCGACGTGAAAGGGACACATCGAGTGGCTGCCACCCGCACGACCAACCAGGGCCGGGGACAAACTGCAACCGAGGTACATGCCCTTAGCTGGAACCGAACCCGGGTCTCTCCGGACCGCAGGCGGACGCTCTAACCGCTGAGCCAAACCGGCCAGGGCAACACATGGATTCTTTTTAAAAATATCTATGAGATTAATAAATTAAGCAAAAACCACAAGTCATTTAGCACAATTCTTAGACCATGCTGTTTCACAAAGATGTTTAATAAGTCATAGTGTTTGCTTCTTGACTAATTTGAAGAGACTCAATATAAAACCAAACACACACACAAACCAAAACACTGCAGAACCTTGACATTCTCTTTCCATGAGTCCAAGGGCCAGAGAACAAGTTCGGTTTGAACCTTGATAATTACCAAAGATACAAACTCCACTTAGTTTTTAATTAAAGCACTGCATTCCACTGTCTGCAAGATTCAGATTTCTTCTGAGCTTGGTTTTTATAGAGACAGAAAGTTTCAGTGTTTTTCCTCAAGCTCACCTGGGGTAACTTCTGACAGCTCCCAATAGGGCAAATTGTTAATTCACATCCTGTCCCAACCTACCCAGGCGTTTAAACACCATGAAGGTCAAGGGCAAGGGGGGGGGGTACGATTTTCAACCTCCCATTTATTCTACCTCCTACTGGTGCTCCAGCTTCTTAATTGCCTCTCCAAGGTTGTTGCTGCAGGGCCCAAGAATTCCTTCTGTGTTCTCAGTGTAGCACATTGGACAGGGAGTGATAATGACAGATGTTTAGCATCATGAGTACCTAAAGCAGCTTTTGGCCTCACAATCTACAAAGCTGAAGAAAACATCAGAAGAGGGTGTCTGGGATTGAAAGT